ACACACACACACACTACACATATTATAACCATTCACATGTTAATTAGAGACAAGATGGGGCTGAGTGTCGCTAAAGAATGTGTGGCCATATTTCTGGCCATATTGGGGGTGGACACGTGGCCACTGTGGGAAAGGATAGAGGGAGGGAGGGGAGAATGAGGGAGGTAGAGGGGAAGAGAAAGGGAAAGAGGGGAAAGGGGAAGAGATGTGGATTTTTCTCAAGTAGGAAGAATAACTTGAAGCTCGACTCAAGTAGCTGTTCCTTCTTTCTTGGTCCTTCCTCTTCCTGTTCCTGTTCCTTCTTCTTCCTGTTCCTTCTTCTTCCTGTTTCTTCATCTTCCTTCCTCGCGATCCTCGATTTCTATAATCTCGTTTTTGGTTTCTTTTTGATTGTCTGCTTTTCGTCTTTCCATTCTCTTCCTGACTCCTTTAGCACCTTCTCCTCTTCCTCTCTCTTGCTCTCTTTATCCACCATCGCCCTCTCATCTGTTCCACCTACTCTCCCTGTCTCCTCTTTCTAGCTTCTCTTCGTGTCGTTATTCTTTTAAAATTACTGCATTTTCCCCCTTTCTCATTTATCTTGCATCTTGCATTCTTTCTCCTTTCCCATCACCTCTCTCTCTCCCACCACCCTTTCCCACCTGTCGTTAATTCCCCCATTCTTTAGCAGTATCTATCTTTCCTCTCCTGTTCTATCCATCCCATTTCCTATCTGCTATCCCACTCTAGTGATTCATTTCCTCCTTCGTTCTTTCCCTCCTCTCTCTCACCTCTCCCTGCCCCTTCCCACAATTATTCTCTCCCTTTCCCGCCACCCGCATCACTAAAGGGTGCTTAAAAATATCTCCTCTATTGATTTTTCTTTAGCGCTCCTCTTGCAGGGGTTAAAATAGATCCACGGATCCTCTGTTGGCCGCGGCGACACCTACCTAGAAGGAATGACCAGGTCGAAGGGAGGGAGGGAGGGAGGGAGGGAATGATGGAGACTGAGGTAGGGAGGGTAGGAGGGGTATGGGGTGAGGTAGATAGGTAGGTAGGGAGATTGGCCAGTTGGTAGAATTGTGGGGATGGTAATTGATCTAGAAATATGTGTGTTTTGTGTATTGATTATTAGTGTTGAGATGGTGATGTGATGGTGATGTGATGGTGATGTGATGGTGATGTGATGGTGATGTGATGGTGATGTGATGGTGATGTGATGGTACTATGTGCACATGCCCATATATATGTATAATATATAGTATATTATATACTATATAATATATATGATGATATAATGGTGTTATGTAACTTCAAATTCAGTCACGTATTCAGAATTTAACATATACCAGATGGGGTACCCGGCGGTGCCCGGGTCCACCCCATAACGTTGTGACCTTTGAGAAAGCAAATCTGTATTAGGGACATGTATTTTGATCTTGCACTGACGTCATTAAGTCCATGTAGAAGGGGGGCATGGGAATCTACCCTGATTTAATATCAAGGGAAGCATTGGGGGCCGACCCCATACCCATCACCCTGCAAAGTTTGACGAGACTAACCCTGAACCTCAGACTTCCAAAATTTTGAGTCTCTATAGATGACTTTCCCTGAATCAAACTAAAACAAAAATTACTTACACAAATTTCCTGACAGTAAAGTGATAAATATATATAATAAAGTTAGTGGGAGAAACAGACAATATTCCTTTCAGTAAGATCACTACAAGTCATATTCTCAGTAAGATTAAAGTCATATTCTCAGTAAGATTAAAGTCATATTCTCAGTAAGATTAAAGTCATATTCTCAGTAAGATTAAAGTCATATTCTCAGTAAGATTAAAGTCATATTCTCAGTAAGATTAAAGTCATATTCTCAGTAAGATTAAAGTCATATTCTCAGTAAGATTAAAGTCATATTCTCAGTAAGATTAAAGTCATATTCTCAGTAAGATTAAAGTCATATTCTCAGTAAGATTAAAGTCATATTCTCAGTAAGATTAAAGTCATATTCTCAGTAAGATTAAAGTCATATTCTCAGTAAGATTAAAGTCATATTCTCAGTAAGATTAAAGTCATATTCTCAGTAAGATTAAAGTCATATTCTCAGTAAGATTAAAGTCATATTCTCAGTAAGATTAAAGTCATATTCTCAGTAAGATTAAAGTCATATTCTCAGTAAGATTAAAGTCATATTCTCAGTAAGATTAAAGTCATATTCTCAGTAAGATTAAAGTCATATTCTCAGTAAGATTAAAGTCATATTCTCAGTAAGATTAAAGTCATATTCTCAGTAAGATTAAAGTCATATTCTCAGTAAGATTTAAGAATGTGACAGGGAAAGAATAAGTGGAAACGGGAAGAAGAATGAATATTCAAACCAGAGACCCAAAAGAGACTTAAAAATAGTAGAGCAACTTGACTTGATGAGAGAAGATCCTTTTGGGAGAGAGGTAGGTAGGAAGGTAAGGAGGGAAGGTAGGTAAGGAGGGAAGGTAGGGTAGGGTAGAAGGAAGAGGTGAAAGGTAGAAAGGAAGATAGCAGCAGCACAACCCGTTCTCGCACTTTCTTATAGTCAATATTGACTTATTAAATATGTGCATATGTGACATACTAAACATACTAGTTTATCTTGAAAAGTTTCATAGAAAACACCGACCTTACCTAACCTTCTTAGTATGTTAAGATAAGCATCTTCTGTAGGAACAACAGCAGTAGCAGCAGCAGAAATTAGTCCCATTAGAAGTAGCCCCATTAACGAACGTTTATTAACCAGCCCCATTACTTAATGGGACTATTTCTTCCCTTCACTAAAATGCTCAAGTTGGTATGTTGGGGAGGTGATGGGTATGTTGGGAAGGTGATGGGTATGTTGTGGAGGTAATGGGTATGTTGTGGAGGTAATGGGTATGTTGGGGAAGTGTTGGAGTGGTATGTGGATTAGCATAAAGTGTTTCAACTTCATGGAAATTGTCTTTGAAAAGGGGCAATGACTGGAAATTCCGTCTTCTCTCTTCTCTCCTCTCTCTCTCTCTCTCTCTCTCTCTCTCTCTCTCTCTCTCTCTCTCTCTCTCTCTCTCTCTCTCTCTCTCTCTCTCTCTCTCTCTCTCTCTCTCTCTCACTCTCTCTCTCTCTCTCTCTCTCTCTCTCTCTCTCTCTCAAAAAGATCTATATTTGAAAGAGGAGGGAGAAGGGGGAATCAAGATATATAGGGTGCGATCAAGAGGATGTAAATAAAATAAAAAATTGGAGACGAGAGAAATTAACACATTTGGACTGTCAATTTAGTGAGAAGGGGAGAGTAGAGAGAGAGAGAGAGAGAGAGAGAGAGAGAGAGAGAGAGAGAGAGAGAGAGAGAGAGAGAGAGAGAGAGAGAGAGAGAGAGAGAATGAAAAGGAAGAAAAGTGCAAAATTAGAATAGCAGCATAAGACTGAAACTGGATATTTTCCTTCTCTGCCTTTCATTCTCTTCTTCTCTCCATTCCCTCTACTTCCTGCCTCCCTTTCCCCCCTCTCTTTCCCCTCCCTTTCCCTCTCCCCTCGTCAAGCTGATGAACCAAACAAATATTAATATCCCTCAAATTCCGAAATATTACGCCAATTTCTCCTGCCAATTAGCGATTGTTTCACACGTAAGTAATCTGCGCTTTTTGCGTTTTGCGTACCTGTTTTGCGATAGTTTCAATTTAGGGCAAAATGATCGTAGTCGGCTAATCCAGGAAGAACCATTGCTTTGGTGAATGGTTTGAGGACATAGGTTATTTGGGATTAATCAAACATCAATTACATGTAGTGATTAGGTAATTAGTGGTCAGTTAGCCTCTGTTATATAGCCTCTTGGTGCCTGGACGGTAGAACGATGGTCTCGCTTCATGCAGGTCGGGGTTCAATCCCCGACTGTCCACAAGTGGTTGGGCACCATTCCTTTCCCACCCGTCCCATTCCAAATCCTTATCCTCACCCCTTCCCAGTGATGTATAGTCGTTGTGGCTTGGCACTTTCCCCTGATATTTCATTCATTAGCCTCTGTTATGGTTAGGTTGTATTATGTTGTATTATTGTTGTTGTATCTAAATCAAAACGTTTGTTGACTAAATTGCCTTGAAAATGTTAGTTTAACTATTTGAGGATGAGAGAAATAAAGGAGAAAGGGCTTAGCCAGTGCATCAATATAGCACTTGGATGGGATAAGACGGAGGGAAGGATCGATGCCCAACCACTGAGACCATCGGGTATTGAACACCGACCCTGCAAGCACCTTACACGTCTCTCAGTACCGACCAGACCAAGTGATTGGCTGACTTCAGAACTCACTAACTTAACAATTAAGTCGTGTGTATAATTAATTTTAGTGTACAAATCCCTTGAGGATTTATCCCATCAAATCCCTTGCGGATTTAGCCCATCAAATCCCTTGCGGATTTAGCCCATCAAATCCCTTGTGAATTTGTTCATTTGATCCATCACGCTATTGTATTTCCGAGTGCACTAATTTTAGTGTTAATAATTCTTTTTTTTTGCAATATTGTATTGATTCTCAGATTATTAAGTGGAAACTTATACAAACTTTGTGTTAATAATCAGACGAGACCTTTAGAATGTGTTCAATATGGCCAGTATTGCTCTTTGACAGGCGCTGATATTCCCTTTAACGAGTAGAGAAAATGAAACTAGAGAAAGTGAATATAGAAAGTGACAGAAAAAGTCAAACTAGCGAAAGGAAAGTGCCCAAGAAATTATACTAGCGTCAAGATACTGGAATATACCTTCTGGTGAAAGTGTCAACAGTGTCACTGGTGTATTGTGTATGCTAAAGCATACAGTATACTCTCGTGTGTGTGTATGTGTGTATATTCGGGATCAAGGATCCAGCGGGTTGTTGTGGTTGGTGACGAGTGTTCACAGACAGGTCAACTACCCCATCCGAGGCCAGGGAACTCTGAGGATAAGCAAAGGTATTTTTGCTACAAAGGTACATTCGTCTATTATCGCACCTGTTGGTACAGAAGATCAGGCTCCTATTGCTGTCTAGACGGAAGATTCAACTCTACTCACACCTGTCTAGACGGAAGATTCAACTCTACTCACACCTGTCTAGACGGAAGATTCAACTCTACTCACACCTGTCTAGACGGAAAATTCATCTGTCAACCTGTCCGCCCCCTGGTAGGACGGTCAACCTACACCTCTACTACACCCTCTACAGTACACTCCCTCTTATAGAAGTTCCTCTGCGGGATCTTCTCACGATGCTCTCCCAATACACATCCCCACACACCTGGCAGCTGTAATCTCCACACACACACCTGTACACCTGTTGATAGACGGTTGAGAGGCGGGACCAAAGAGCCAGAGCTCAACCCCCGCAAGCACAACTAGGTGAGTACACCTTAACACATTTAAGGTACACACACACACACACACACACACACACACACACACACACACACACACACACACACACACACACACACACACACTTAACAGTAACGCTAACAAGAACACACTTTAAGTACCCATTAGACTATAAAAATCAACACTCAAGTTCTATATAAACAAGAAAATGTTTATACAAACAAGAAAAAACATCAATTTCTTCAAGAGAACTCACTAATCTCACCAACAATAGACATTGTCAATTACACAAAAAAAAAATATTAACATATATTACTAGAATTCAAATTAACATCTGATACTAGAATACATAGAAACATCTATAATCAGAACATATTAACATCAATATAAATTGACAAATACAACAATATACATTGACTAATACAACAACAATATACATCGACTTTTGCAGCCATATCAACAGACTTCTACGAGTAGATAGATTGACTTCAACAACCCAGATAGATTGACTTACACAACACCGGGTAAATTAGTGTGTACTGATTTACACATTGGCCACAATTTATTTATTGCATAACTGATCACCACCACAACATGTAATACAATCACATGTACCAACACCACATAGCACCACATAACAGCACCACATAGCACCACATAGCACCACCACCATGATTGACTGGGTCAGCATCGTGAGACACTCCCGTAGAAGATTCAGTAACTACATGTACTCAGGTCCTACCCGCTTGCGGCGGCGACGCAAGAAGCCGATCATGCCTTCCGCAGCTGCCGCAGCTTCCTCCGCTCTCGCCGCAGCCGCAGAGGAGAAGGAACAGAGGAGGATAGAAGAGGAAGACGAGGAAGACGAAGAGGAGGAGGAGGAGGAAGAGGGGGAACGATGGGCAGCGCTGGTAGGCAGGCTAAACCCTTGTGATCTCTGTGGCTGCCTTCCCAAGAAACATGTAAGTATTTTGAGATCTTTGTTGACATACACATAGACCGGGGGGGGGGTTGTCTTCATGTGTCCCAGAGTGTGCGTATGTATCCCACAACACAAGTATCCCACAACTCAACACCATCTGTAGCACTGAAATGCGATTCAATGACACATAAAGTATCCGATTGTCCTTTACCCAAAGACGTAAAAGTATAAAGTAGCGTGCATAGTCAAGTATATTTGTATACTAAAATACACTTATATACAACATACCATCAAATATACAATGTTGTAAGAAACATAATATTGATATTTATAACGGTTATAAAAACGTTTTTTTAAAAACGCACTAAAAACGTTAAAATAGTCAAACAAAAAACGTCCAGAAAACGTTTCGCGTACCCACGGGAACAACGTTCATGAAAAACATCGACATGGGAGGATTGCCAACTGCCACTATGTGCCAAGTGCCCATTCATACCCTTCTCCCGCCTCATGAACCCCATTAATCTCAATTATAATTGTCAATAAATGGATTTAGTTAGTCTCTGGGCCTTTAGCGTCAGTGTGGGTTGATGGTAGTATTGTTAATTTGCAGGTGATTAAGGTAATGGGGGGTTGTTTTGGTAAGGTGGGAGTGCGGGAGTGTTGGTATGCCTGGGGAGTTATTTTAAGAGGTATAGTGTAGTCTCTTGGTGAGTGGGTAGGGTGGGCCTTTGTGTGGATGGGCGGGTGGGTAGGGTGTGTGTGTGTGTGTGTGTGTGTGTGTGTGTGTGTGTGTGTGTGTGTGTGTGTGTGTGTGTGTGTGTGTGTGTGTGTGGTAGGGGCGGTGTGTGAGCGTGTTTTTGTAGGGTTTCCGGGGAGAAGTATGTGAATATATTCACCTAGTTCTGCTTGCGGGGGTTGAGCTCTGGCTCTTTCGACCCGGCTCTCAACTGTCAGTCAATCAACTGTTACTAACTACTAACTATTATTTATTTATTTTTCTACACACACACACAGGAAGCATCCTGTAACTATTGTCTAACTCCTAGGTACTCATTTACTGCAAGGTAACAGGGGCATCAGGGTGAAAGAAACTCTGTTCATTTTGTTTCTCGCCGGCGCCGGGAATCGAACCCTGGTCCATAGGATTGTTTGTCCAGCATGCTGTCCATTCAGTCACCACCCCCCCCTTTGTGTGTTTGTGTATGTGTGAGCTTGTGTGTGTGTGTGTGTGTGTGTGTGTGGTGTGTGTGTGTGTGTGTGTGTGTGTGTGTGTGTGTGTGTGTGTGTGTGTGTAATTACCTAAGTGTAGTTACAGGATGAGAGCTACGCTCGTGGTGTCCCGTCGTGTGTGTGTGTGTGTGTGTGTGTGTGTGTGTGTGTGCACGCGTGTGTGCACGCGTGTGTGTACCTAACCAGTATATAAAAAATTGCCAATTAGCATTAACTTCATACCCCTCAAGAGCATGCACAAAATAAAAATAATAATAAAAAATAATATAATTATATAATTGGACACAACAATTACATAATATCAATTAAATGTTGCCACGTTAATTGGCTCTTGTGCACCACGCTCAGCACACTGCGCACTTGTCAGCTCAGGTGATAGAGCACAATTACAAGCTGGCATACCCGCCGCTTGAACGACCTTGGAATAATATATCTTCACACTTTGCTCACTCGATTATTTAATCCTTGATCCTCCTCCAGAAAAAAATATTTCAAATTCGATTTGTAAACCAATTTATATATAAATATATGAATTGGTTTCTCGTGAGTAAATATATAAATTGGGGTTTGAGAAGGTTCCAATTGGCTACGAAGGTGTTTATATATATGACTTTGCGTTATGTTGTCTATATGTATTTTTGTAAGCTCTTGGGCCCTGCCTTTCACTTGCCAGTAGTCTCCAATTCTCCTGCTTTTAAGCCTAGAAACAGTACCTCTCTGCTCTCTCTCTCGGACCCCCTTCCTCTCTCTCTCTCTCTCTCTCTCTCTCTCTCTCTCTCTCTCTCTCTCTCTCTCTCTCTCTCTCTCTCTCTCTCTCTCTCTCTCTCTCTCTCTCTCCCCGAATATAACACGAATTACACCATAAGGGTAAATTTATTGTTAAAAATACTGTGTTAATCCACTCCGTGTTATTAGATCCATTACGTGAGATATGACACCAGGTTATTTAACATCACATTCCCATGTTGTTAGTTTTGTTTGAATTGATACAATAGTTAACATGTGAAGATGAGAATCGTTGGTAAGTGGATTTTTAATGTTAGAACCAAGATATTAATGACCGGTTGGTCTGGACGAATTAGGACATCAATGTGTGGGTATGATGCATAATGGGACATGGGGCTGACGTAGGTGTATGATTATGTGAGCATGACGTAGGCATAGAAGCAAGTGGGCATGTTGTTAGGTCTATAAGTATGTGGGTATGTAGAGCTATACATGGGAGGGTTTTTTGGTTTATGGGGTTCAGCCAAGTAGGAGAAATTAAAATGTAGGTTTGTAGGCCTATGGGTGTGAGTATTTAGACCTATGGGTGTATGGGTATGTAGGCGTACTAGAGGCAGAGACAAAAAAAATACATGTACTGTTAACAAAAATCAAAACGATTAACAAACGGCAAAAAAAAAAATCAAAACGCCCAATCAAAGATTCCTCGAATCGGGGTTCGCTGAATCGAGGTTTCACTGTAAACTGTTTGTCCAATCCTTTTTATACAAGGGATTTGGGTGAGTATTTTTGTATGCATTTGTGACTCAAAGCTGTCTGATGTTAGGAGGTCATGTGTGTACACATGTGGACTGTAGGAGGTCTGGGTCATATGTGTCACACACCTGGTGAATGACAGACTCAGGTCTGGCTCACGTGTGATCTCACACACCTGTTGGGTGACAAGCCAGCTCACGTGTGCATTTATCACACCTGTCGCCCCCTAATTAGTGCCAAGTTCACCTCGTACACTAAATCAGTTCTCACCATCACTAATGTCCCAGAGTGATTGCTAGTCTAATGCGTATTAGGCAATTTCAACTTAATACTGATTAATGAACCTCACAGTGAAAAGATTCAGCGCAATTCACCTGAGTTATCTTGACAAGTGCTTGAGCTGTGCCAAGATTATAATTTCCAGATTGTTATTGAATTTTTTTTTTGGGTGAAGGTAATTATTGTATTGGAGTCCGATTCCTTTGGGAAATTTGGATCTCGTTTTCTAATGTATAGATGTTTTGTATCTTTGTATTAATTAAAAGTATAATGCAGATACTGATAATGTGTGTGTTCTTTGTATAATGATTTCTTATATATAATGAATGGATGGAGCATTCTTGCTCCCAACACACACATACACACACACACACACACAGCAGGGCGCTGGTGGCTGAGTGGACAGCACACTGGATACGTAGCCCTGTGGTCCGGGGTTCGATTCTCAGCGCCGGCGGAAACAGATAGGCAGAGTTTCTTTCACCCTGCTGCCCTTGTTACCTAGCAGTAAATAGGTACCTGGGAGTTAGATAGCTGTTACGGGCTGCTTCCTGGGGGAGTGTGTGTGTGATGGGGGGGGGGGGAAGAAGCTAGTAGTTAGTAACAGTTGCTTGATTGACAGTTGAGAGGCGGGCCGAAAGAGCAAAGCTCAACCCCCACAAGCACAACTAGGATAATACAACTACGTGAATACACACACTATACACACACACACTATACACACACACACACACTATACACACACACACACACACACACACACACAAGCCCTTCTTTGCTTCTTTCCCTCATTAGAGGGAGAGAAGCAAATCTTCTCTCTCTCTCTCTCTCTCTCTCTCTCTCGCCCCCTCCTCCTACTCATCTCCTCTCTCTCCTCTCTCTCTCTCTCCTCTCTCTCTCTCTCTCTCTCTCTCTCCTCTCTCTCCTCTCTCTCTCTCTCTCTCTCCCTCCCCAGCCACAGTGATGGGTTGACACAGCTCGTGTTCCCTGTACCACAGATTATCAGCATGAGGAACACATGTTATTCTTAGAGGTGTGTGCCAGGGGCTGGGTGCCAACTGGCCCTCCTGGGGGTGTGTAGTGTGGCACTTGTTGCTTGGTGTACTCCCTTAGTTGTGCTTGCGGGGGTTGAGCTCTGGCTCCTTGGTCCCGCCTCTCAACTGTCAATCAACTGGTGGGTATTCACCTAGTGTGTGTGTGTGTGTGTGTGTGTGTGTGTGTGTGTGTGTGTGTGTGTGTGTGTGTGTACTCACCTAGATGTGCTTGCAGGGTCGAGCTCGGTTCCTGGCCCCGCCTTCCGAACGTTCTTAGATTTATGCAGTGACATTTCTCATACTTTTATCATATTTACAAATTAATTTTTGAATCGAATTTGCTGCAATGATTTCTGTATCTAACCTCTTCCATGTATTGCCAGCTTGAACTCTGAATAAGTTCCTCCTGATGTCTCTATGACTCATTTGCGTCACTGTGACTCATTTGCGTCACTGTGACTCATTTGCGTTTCTAGTTTCCATCTATGATCCCTCGTTCTGTTGTTTCTAGCTCTGAACAACGCTGCTTTGTCTACTTTGTCAATTTCCTTCAGAATCTTGCATGTCGTTATCATGTCTCCCTCCTATCTCTCCTTTCCTCCAGTGTGGTAAGATCCAGTTATCTGAGTCTTTACTCATTGCTCAATCCCTTCAGCTCCGGATTGAGTCTTGTTGCATATCTTTGGATTTTTTCTAGTTTCTCCTTGTCATCTTTCGGGTCAGGGTTCCATGCAAGTGCTGCGTATTCAAGTGGGTCTCACCTTAGCTGTATATAGGACCAGGAAAGCTCATTTGTCGAAGTTCAAAGGAGGCCTAGTCGACGACCGGGCCGCGGGGACGCTAAGCCCCGGAAGCACCTCTTGGTAACCTCAAGGTTAGTTTGTTTGTCCTGTTAAATTGTTAATGTTGGCTTCTGACATCATATTTGGGGTTGTGTCCACTTCCAGGTCTTTCTCCATTTCTGATTGAGGAATCTGTCTTCCATTCATCCTATTCTGCTGTACTGGTTTTC